GGCCAGTTATTAACCCTACAGCGGCCTCTAAGTGTTCAAGTGAAAAGAAGATTCTTGCATCTCTCACTTTAGATCAAAAGCTAGAAATGATTAAGTCTGGGGAGGAAGGGATGTTGAAAGCTGAGACAGGTTAACAGTTAGACCTCCTTCTTGTGCCAAACAGTTAGGCAAGTTGTGAATACAAAGAAAAAGTTCTTGAAGGAAATTAAAGTGCTACTCCAGCAAACACACGAATGATAAAAAAGCAAAATGGCATACATATACCACACTTTATTAATCCACTCATGTATTGATGGGCACCTGGGTTGTTTCCACACCTTTGCAATTGTGAACTGTGCTGCTATAAACAATCGAGTGCAGGTGTCCCATGTGTAGAGTGTCATTTGATCTTTTGGGTAGATACCTAGTAGTGGAATTGCTGGATCAAATGGTAATAGCACCTCTTGTATATTCCTAGATAGAGCTGGAAACCCATTCTACTAAGTGATGTATCTCAAGAATGGAAAAACAAGCACCACATGTACTCATCAGCAAATTGGTATTAATGGATCAACACTTAAGTGGACATATAGGAATAACATTTATTGGGTGTCGGGTGGGTGGGTGGGAGGGGGGAGGGGGGCATGGGCAATATATGTAACCTTAACATTTGTACCCCCATAATATGTTGAAATAAAAAAAAAAAAGCAAAACAGCTTTATTGCTGATATGGAGAAAGTTTTGGTGGTCTGGATAGAAGACTAAACCAGCCACAACATTCCCTTAAGCCAAAGCCTAATCCAGACTAAGGTCCTAACTCTTCAATTCTGTGAAGGCTAAGAGAGGTGAGGAAGCTGCAGAAGACAAGTTGGAAACTAGCAGAGCTTGGGTCTTGAGGTTTAAGGAAGAAGCTGTCTCCGTAACATAAAAGTGCAAGGTGAAGCAGCAAATGCCCGTGGACAGGCTGTGGCAAGTTATCCAAAAGATCTAGCTAAGATAATTGATGACAGTGGCTACACTAAACAAAAGATTTTCAATGTAGACAAAATAGTCTTCTATTGGAAGAAGATGCCATCTAGGACTTTCATAGCCAGAGGAGAAGTTAAGGCTTAACTTCAAAGGATAGGTTGACTATAGAGGTTGGCTCTATTGCTAGGGCTGAATGCAGCTGGTGACTTTCAGTTGAAATCAGTGCTCATTTACCAGTCTGAAAATCTGGGGGCCCTTAAGAATTATGCTAAATCTACTCTGCCTGTGCTCTATAAGTGGAATAACAAGGCCTGGATAACAGCACATTACAGCATGGTGTACTGAATATTTTAAACCCACTGTTGAGACCTGCTCAGACAAAAATGTTCCTTTCAAAAGGTTACTGTTCATTCACAATGCACCTGGTCACTCAAGAGCTCCAATGGATGTGTATAAAGAGATGAATGTTATTTTCATTCCTACTAATACAACATCCATTCTTCAGCCCACTGGTCAAGGAGTAATTTCAACTTTCAAGTCTTATTATTGAAGAGGTACATTTTGTAAGGCTATAACTGCCATAGATAGTGATTCCTTTGATGGTTCTAGGCCAAGTGTATGGAAACCTGGAAAGGATTCACTATTCTAGATGCCATTAAGAACATTCACAATTGGTGGGAAGAGGTCAAAAAGTCAACATTAAAAGGAGTTTAGAAGAAGTTGATTCCCACCCTCATGGGTGACTTTGAGGGGTTCAAGACTCAAGTGCAGGAAGTAACTGCAAATATGGCAGAAATAGCAAGAGACCAAGAATTAGAAATACAGCCTGAAGATATGTGTAAATTGCTGCAATCTCATGATAAAACTTAAATGTTGAGGATTGCTTCTTATGGATGAGCAAAGAAAAGTGGTTTCTTGAGGTGGAAGCTATTCGTGGTGAAGATGCTGTGAATACTGTTGAAATGACAACAAAGGATATTGAATATTCTATAAACTTAGTTGATAAAGCAGCAGCAGGAATTGAGTATTGACTGCAATTTTGAAAGATGTTCTACTATGAGTAAAATGCTATCAAACAGCATTGCATACTACAGAAAAATATTTCATGAAAGAAGGAGTCAATCTTTGTGGCAAACCTCACGGTTCCCCTATTTTAAGAAATTGTCACAGCCAACCCAAACTTCGTCAACCACCACCCCCGATCAGTCAGTAGCCATCAACATTGAGGCCAGACCCTGCAGCAGCAAAAACATTATGACTCACTAAAAGGCTCAGATGATTCTTAGCATTTTTTTGACAATAAAGTATTTTTTAATTAAGGAATTTTTAGTTAAAGTACAGTTTTCAGATATAATGCTATTGCATAATGGATTACAGTACAGTATAAACATAACTTATAAATGCACTGGCAAACAAAAATTTGTGTGAGTCACTTTTAGGGTTATTCACTTTATTGCAGTGGTCTGGAACTGATCCCACAACATCTGCAAGGTATGCCTGTATGTTGTAGAATGACTGTATCTAGCTATTTATGTGATTAAATATGAAATGTCCGATTTCAAATCAAAAGTGTAATTTATTATATCTCAAACAGTACAGTCAATAAAAGTATGCACCTTAACTATTGACAGAATTTTGCCATCTTAACAGTAGTTGTTTAAAAGAAGCCTGGAGAGCAAGTGGCGATGAAATAGTGAAAGGTGTTTTCCACAGCTTGTTAAGTGAATATTTTTCCTTATAAGAAGGGGTCCAAAGCCTGGAGGAAGTGGTATAGTCAGTTAGTACAAGGTCTGGTTAATATGGTGGAAGACAGATTTTCCAAGTCCAGCTTCTGTAGTTTGAACAGTGGTGTTTGTGTCACCTATGGTTGAGCAGTTGTCTTGCAAGAGGATTGGCCTGTCTCTGTTGACCAATCTCTGCTGTTTAATAGCTAGCATCCTCATCATTTCATCCATTTGATAGCAGTAGACATCTGCTGTAATTGACTGACCAGGTTTCATGAAGCTGTAGTAGATAATACCAGCCTGGATCACCAGACACCCTTTAGTTTTTTTGATGAATATTCAGTTTTGGACTGTGTTCTGGCACTTCATCTTTATCCAACCATTGTGATGAATGCTTGCGACTGACAAAAACAATTGATTTTTCATCACACATAACAATATGGAGTAGAAATGGTACTCCTGTATGTCATGACAGCAAAGAAAGGCAAGTTTCGAGATGATTTCTCTGCTGATGCTCATTTTATTCACACGGAACCCATCTATCCAGCTTCTTTACCTTGCTGATTTGTTTCAAATGATCCAATGTTGTTGGAATAGTAACATCAAACCTTGCTGCTAATTCACGCATAGGTTGAGGTGGATTCTCTTCCACTACAGCTTTTAGCTCATCCTTATCCACATTGGTCTCAGTTGCCCACGTGGCTCATTTTCAAGATAAAGTCACCAGAATGTAACTTCTCAAACCATCAATGTACTGTGCATTCATCAGCCACATCTTTCTCACTTTGGTGATGTATACAGCTATCTGTGCTGCATTTGTTCCATGACAGAACTCATATTATAAAATAACACGAATTTTTGACTTATTCATGGTTTCACAAAAATTGCTCTAAAAAAATCTGAAAGATAATCACAAGCTAAAGTATGTGTTTGAAAGACTGAGGGTGTACCTTCACAATAAACATAAAACAAGAAGTGTCAAAGTGAAATGTCAAGAGATACAGCTGTCAAACTTAGTACTTAAGGAAACAGTTCATACTTACTGACCTAATAATTAACTTTACACAGCTATCATTTTTCTGGTGGGAACACTTAACATCCACTCTCTTAACATTTTTCAAGAGTACGATATATTATTCTTAACTGCAGTCACCATCTACGTGTACAACATATCTCTTGAACTTATTCTTCTATTTACCTGAAACTTTGTATCCCTTTATCAGCATCACCCTAAACTCCTCAGCCTTTGCTAAACACCATTCTACTCTTTAGCTCTACAAAGTCAACTTTTTTAGATTCCCCACATGAGTGAGATAATGCAGTATTTGTCCTTCTCTGCCTGGCTTATTATTTCACTTAACATAATATCCTCCAGGTTCATCCATATTGTCACAAATGCAGGATTTCCTTCTTTTTAATGGCTGAATAGTATTCCATTGTGTGTGTGCATGTATACAGACACACAAATGCTGTGTGTGTGTGTGTGTATATATATATATATATATAGCATTTTCTTATTCATCTGTTGATGGACACTTAGGTTGATTCTATATCTTGGCTATTGTGAATAATGATGCAGTAAACATAAGAGTGCAGGTATCTATTTGATAAACTGATTTTATTTCCTTTGCATATATTCCCATTAATGGGATTTCTGGCCATTTTAATTTTTTGAGGAAACTCCATATTGTTTTCCATAATAGTTATACTAACTTCTTAGCATTTTTGAAGACTTTCATTTAAGCCTTTTTTTCTGAAGCACTGTTTCCCCCCCCAATTAAACATGATCATACCATATACACAGTTTAACATCTTGCCTTTTAACTTAATACCATGACACAAAATTTCATATATTGCATTGTCTTGAAATCATCGTTTTTAATAAGTACTAACCATTCCATTAAGTAAGTGGATGTGCCCTAATTTTACAATTCCCTATTCTTGGACATTTACATTATTTCTATTTTTTTCTAGTTTAAATGTCACTATGACGAAAGTCTTTGCATATAAAGCTTTTCTGTGTTTAAGATTATTTCTAGAGTCCTAGCAGTAAAATTAATGGGTCAAAAGACATGCAGAAAGTAAATTTTTGAGGTAAAGCATCAATCCAAGTGCTATATGAAGTAAAATATACCACCTTAAGTGCAAAGATTTGTCCATTAGCTCTGATGCTAACAAGTGATTGCTAAAATCTTATAAAGTTGTAGAAAACTGTACAAACTGACAAATTCGAGTAAGTTAGTGTTGCACCCACTAGTATTACACTTCTTTATTCACATAAGTATATGGCTTATCCCTTATTAATTGAGCTTAAATTCTTAACCTTACCTAGATCTACCATCAGAAGGCGAGTGAGAGCTGTGTAGAAGGTTGTTCGACACCTGAAGTCACTGAGACTGTAACTGTCATTGATGCCAAGAAAAGGGAAGTGTTCACTCTAATGAAAGCAAAAGAGCAACCAAAGTTACTAATGCTTTACCTAAACTATCTGGAAAATTCTAGTCATTAATTAAGGAAATAAGACTTACCGTGTGGTTTTTTAGCATGAATTTCACAGCATCTATCTTCACAAGTTTTTTTAAAAGGATATAGGTAATAAAAGTTAAGGAATCTGGGGAAATATATTTATCTTATCAACATATAATAAAAATAACACTGAATTATAGTGGCATCAATTTCTACTTATAAAGAATTAGTATTATTTCTAAAGAGTACTCCTATAGAAATGTCTTTCATTCTGTTAGGAATGATAATCTATTATTAACCAGTGCAATTACTTTTTCTATCTTATACATATTCTAGTTATGGAAAGGAAGAATGAATTTTATAATTAAGACAAGAACTCCTTTACTATTAAAGTCTTGATAGTGGAAAATTAAAACTGACCCTTTTTACATTTTGGGTGTAACTTGAGAATTCCTTCTTACTTAGTATTATTTCATAATAAAATAATTATAAAAGACCCTTAATAGGCTATAAAGAGAAAATTATTCAATTTTACAAAACAATAAACTCAGCAGAAATCCAAGATCAGAATATAATTAGAAGAGGACATAGCAGATTGTATATCATCCAAGTGTTGAAGGACAGCTTTAAGGAACTAATATTTCTCAAGTGCCTACTATGTATATGTCATTTTTCATGTTAATTCACCTAATTTTCACAATTACATTGTTAAATATTATTTATTATTTCTATTCCATAAGTATGGAAACAGAAGCTAAGAGAAATTAAGTTACTTGCCCAAGATTACACAGCTATGTATTGATGGTGCTGGGGTCCGAATTGAGGTTGGACTCCAAAGACCATGTTCTTTCTACTGTACCACATTATCACTGGAACAGTTCAACTCAGAATGAAAATGAAGTTGAGAAATCATAAACATGAACACAAAGCCTAAATAATTTCTGGTATGATGTGGGTTCTAAGCACATCTACTCAATATGCAAACACCCTCTTCTCTTACTTTGCCATAGTCATACGTTTTCTACTATAGCTAGAGCATCTCTCATACCCATTCCCTCATACTTATTCATGTCTTTCTTGAAAGCTATAATAATCTTATATGACTTCATTCATGTTACAATGAAAACACTGGCTCCTCTCTTTCACATCATCTCCAAATATAGAACTCAGTATATTGCCTCTATATAACAGCACTGAAAAGTATGATCTAAATTTTAGGCACTCAGGTGTGGGTGTCAGAGTGGAAACATAACTGCAACATGAGTCAGGAAACCTGGGCCTGACTATACCATTCAATAAGCTGGAGGAGTCTAAGTAATACACTCAGCTCATCTCAGCCTTAATTTCTCTCTCCAACAAATGAGGATGAGATTTATGCACAAGCTACCTTCCAGGATTGTTGTAAAGATCAGATGATGCAAATATCTTTGCCAATTATAAACCAGGGAAGAAGACAGGAAGATGCAGAGAATTTATAGAATGTGTACTATTTTGCAGGGCTAATTCTCACAATTCCATGAGATAGGTAGTATCACTTCTATTTTTCAGATGAGGAAACAAACTAAAAAAAAAAAACTTTCCAAAAGACAAACAATTACTATAATTTAGATTCAAGTCCCTCTGATTCTGAAGCAACCACTCCAGTTGCATATTAAGCATGTATATGTGGCTCACCTCCATATTAGACTATAAACTTTCAAAGTGCAGGGACTGCATCCATGCATTTTCCTCAGTGCACTGCTCAGTGGATGCTCCATGCACTGCGTTTTTCTGGTAGTCTGAAGGACAAAAAGATCAGGGATGATATGTATCACGTTTTTCCCTACCTCCAAAGATGCAGATTAGATGATTTTTCTCAGTCACTGAGCAGAAGACCTGCCACTCAAACTTCACTCAGTTAAGCAGTGGTGGGGATCAATAAACTTGGAAATATCTTAAGTAATTACTAAATACAATTCTCTTAAAATTGCAAAGTTAAAAGTGACAGGGTCTATGGGTAATAAGAATGTTGCCATTAATAGGACTCTTCCTGTCAGTGCTGTTAATAAACAGCAAGTCATGTTTTGACAACAGAATATTTATGGAAGCAATAAACAGAACATTCACAGGAAGAATCTCATCTGCCAAAGACACATTTTCTGCAGAACTGCATCTGTGCACTTTGTACCAAGGCCAGGTTCACTGCCTTTTAATTACATTCTAAAGAAAAAAATGATTAAAAATGAATTTTTACATTTTTCAATAAAGAAAAAAATGGGAGTTCATTTGAATATTTATATTCTCTTATAGGAATTCTATTCAAAGCTAGTCATTGTCTCCTTAAGCAGGCTATAATGTTTTTTAAAATAGGCAAATGGATACATCATCTTTATGATCTTTATACTTTCATCTTATTCTTCTCTAAGAGACTAGGGTTCTTCTAAGTTATGCCATTTTAGTTGGGTGGGAGGATTAAACAAATTATGGTAGTACTAGGTTAGATTTCAGTGGCCTATTCCAAATAGTTCATACCAGTACATATAGTATCGTGGTAACAGAAATAGCAACAGCACTAAGACTCTTGAGTAGTAAGAAAGAGAATTTAGGAAATGTCACACATGGAACATGTAAATTGAAAAGCCAGTATTCAAATCCAGGTCTGTCTGACTCTTTTCACTTGGTTATATCACATTCATTTGATTTTGAAGGAGCTGGTATTCTTCCAGAGACCACTAGCTTTTTAAAATCAACTGAAACTGGAACCAGGTCCTAGAAAGGACAGGGAAACCTTTTCTTTTAGGAGGGACAGATTCATTAATGAGCTATCATCACATTCTACAGTCTAGCTGATTGTAACTCATTAAACAAAATTTCCAGAAAATTTCTCTCTCTATCCATGTGCTTATAAAAATACTGAAGATGAAAATTTATTGATCACTAGTGCATGATAAATGAAGAAAGGCAAGAAAAGGACGAAAGAATGGCATATCTTACAGATGGCTGAAAATCTGTATCCTTTGAAGAGGGGGAATAACTAAATTGAGAATGAACTCGTTTCGTAGGTTACATGAGTACTACACACTTTAGTAGCTAATTGACACAGTAGAGCCAAGTATGACTTCAATTCACGGTATTGGGCCTCTACTGAGTATTTACCATATTTTATCAAATCCAAAATGTCATTGGATGTTTTTTAAAAAGCCATTTATTTTATGTACTACTAAGAAAGAAAAAAGGGTGTTAAAATAGCATCAATTGTAAGATATACTCCATTTATAGAAGTATTAAAATGTGAAAAATTTGTTTTAGAATTATAGTAGTATACTAAATAGATATTTGGTATTCACTAAGTACAAGAGAATGGGTAATGATACTGATCTAGGAAAATATTCAAGAGCCATACATGTTCACAGATAGTTTTGGCCGACAGAATTAGATCCTGATAACAAAAAAAAGTTCAGAGATAAGAATATTACATGTCAGAGATTACAGTAGGTAGATTATAGGTACAAAGTATAGTTACTGAAATGTAAATTTAGTTATTTCAGAAGTAGGATTATGCTCATGAACCCTACTAGACTTAAAAAATCCATATAGGTATAACCAAGATGAAGCATCTTAAGGTATACTAAGAATTATTTATAAAGAATAGGAATTAAGGCTTAGTCACTCAACAGAGGGGTAACAATATGTTCTAAATGCCCACTGTATGAAGTTTTGAAACTATGGAGAAAGGAAAAAACATCTAAATCTCTAATAATTTATAATCTAATAGAAGACAGGACTAGCAAATACTAAACTATGATATATTCATACCCAGATATATAGATAAAAACAAGCTGAGAACATTAAGAAAAATAAATGATGGGAAAGAAAATGAAAGGAATTAATATTTTGTGAGCACTAAAGGACTCAGGATTATGACTATTTCAGGATGGCTTTACTAAGTCTTTAGCAGGAACTAAAATATTGGAGAGACCAAGTTGAGTTTACAGTATGTCAAATAAGGGAGAATGGTTTATGTGGTGATTCAGTGAAAGATAATGAAGGGTGTCAATGGGAAGGTAAAATAAATTTCCTTGGCCCAAGTATAAAATACAAATTGTGGATGAGTGGTGAATCAGGAAATTAATTACGGGAACTCAGTAAGTCAAGTACTGTGAAAGGACTCAAATTCAAATCAATAATTTTACTTGACCTAAGAAGCAAGTGGAAGTGATTCTGGGCTTTTGGAAGAGAAATGATCAGATCAAAACAATACTCGAGGAAGGTCATCTTGTGAAGCAAGTAGCTAAAGAACCTGATGAAGGTCTTGAATAAGGGATCTAGAGAAGTAGAGAGGATTCTCATACCTGATTCTAGTATAAAAAGAAACAACAAACAGAGGAGATAAATTATGGGATAACTTTTCCATGGCTGATAGAGATAGAAAACAAAGAAATAAACATTTCTTTTGATGAGAAATGTTAATAGAAGTATGCCTGAGGGATGTACACTGAAACTAGTTTTATTTAACACTCTCACAAACCATCTGGAGATGCTGGTATTCAGTGACATAAAGCAATGCATTTTAATACTGTTTCACAAAAGCAGAATGACTGCTGTTTATTAATAAACAGTTCCTATAACAGACATATCAAATTTTACTTCCATTCTTCACCCTTATTTCATTTTACAACTTTACTTTATCTCTCATACTCTATTTTTTCCTGACCCCCTCAAACCACATTCAGGATTCCCAGTGGTGGGAAGGTCAGAGACAGGGTGAGGCTGTCTGGTTTGCATATTACTTGGTAAGTTTCAAAGTTGTATATTTAATGGCTTGTATATAAGCTTATGTCTAAATGATTTTGAATAAGAAGGGCTCCCTCAAAACAGCCATATCACCATGTTATGTACCACATTATTTTTAATGTATGGAAAATTAGTATGTATCTTAAACTATGTTAATAAAACAACTAACTTTGCACCTTAGGAGAAGTAAATGAAGTCTCGAGTCAAGGTTCATTCTGTCAGAATTTAAAATAAGTGAGGGCAAGGTTTGTCACTTTGCCCTGTACTTTTAGCAAATGCTTAATAAATACTTGCTGAATTGGAAAATGCCAATAAGATAAAGTAAATCATTAAGATGAGGATGGAATTAAATTTAAAAATCACTATTTTACTCTGATTCAATGTTGTATCTGGATAAGGATGCAGTTCTAGTTATTTCACGTAAGCAAGAAAAACAAAGACAAATGAAGCTGGGAAAGGTATGGAGTTGAAAATGAAATCATGGCCGGGTGCGGTGGCTCACGCCTGTAATCCTAGCACTCTGGGAGGCTGGGGCAGGCGGATTGCTCGAGGTCAGGAGTTCGAAACCAGCCTGAGCAAGAGCAAGACCCCGTCTCTACTATAAATAGAAAGAAATTAATTGGCCAACTAATATATATATAGAAAAAATTAGTCGGGCATGGTGGTGCATGCCTATAGTCCCAGCTACTTGGGAGGCTGAGGCAGAAGGATTGCTTGAGCCCAGGAGTTTGAGGTTGCTGTGAGCTAGGCTGACGCCACTGCACTCACTCTAAAAAAAAAAAAAAAAAAAAAAGGAAAATGAAATCATGGTCATCAAGTAGCTTTGATAGAAAATTTGACTTAACAAAAACCAAAATGATTAAAATAAACTAATAGATAAATAGATTTATGATGTATATGGATAGGAATTATATTCACCAAATTATAGCATACAGGAACTAAGGGAATAGTCCCAAAGTCTTAGAGAGTTAGTCTGAAGCCAAATGGAGGAATCACAGAAAACTAGAGCCAGATTCATGGGTATGTGAGCTGCATACTTGCATAAGGCCCTATGCTTAGAAGGGCTCATGCTTGGTTTAATGCTCTGCTGTTGAGGTCTTGAAATTCTTAGTAATTTTTGAACAAAGGACTCCACGTTCTTCATTTGGTACTGGGCCCCATGAATTATGTAAGTGGTCTTATAGTAACATGGAGAAGATATTAGTCCTGAGAATTTTGAAGTTAACAGTATCAATAAGATGAAAAAAGAGTTTGGATAAATGAATAAATTGATGAACCCTAGAATTCTACTATAGGGTTTGTTTTTAAAAAGTTAAAGATACTTTGGGGTTTCTCAAACTTTTGAGGATTATGTAATAAAGGGCAACTAACTACCAACACAAGGCCTGATAGAGAATGAAATTTCCTTTCTCATTATATATCTGAAACCCAAAGTGAGATGTTATTGCTGTAAATTTGAGTAAACGAATTACAGTAATACTCATCAATTCTTTTTCAAAGGAATTAAAACCTGTAATAATGATTAATGAACAAACAGAATTTTGGATGAAATGTAACACTTTTCTCCCTCTTTCTCAGCATTTAACCACTTCAGTACGAGTGTCGACTATAGTCGATAGCCACAGATGAACGCGCACAGCGACTTTAGCCGACAGCCGTGATATGAAGGCGCACAGCTGAGCATCAACTTTAGCCGATAGCCGTGATGTGACTTTTCTAATTTTTCATTTATCAAAATAAAATTGTGAACATTTAAAAATAACATAATGAAAACATATATGGATATGTTACCTATTCTGATTTACATTACAAGTAAAGTTGCCTGTAAAGTAAAACAAGCTTTCAGTGCTTTAAAGCTTTCCTCATCACACAAGAGCAAAACGGATCTGTTGTCAATGCACAGCACAAACCATCATGGGGACTATGAGTGCCGGCTGTGGGCAAGGTTTCTCAGCCAGTGAGCACCGTACAGAAGTAGTTACAGTAAGTATACTCGATTGCTCTGTATGACCCTTATTCTCTCTCTAGTTTTCCCAGTAACTTCCTTGTTCCAATCACTTGAACAATCTCACCCCTTGCCCATATACATAGCAACTAGAATTTATGACCAGAAAACATTTCAAAGAGAAAGAAAGATCCTCAAGTATTGAACTGGATTGTGGAGGACTAGCCCTGGACGGAGCCATTTCAGCTCTATGCATGTTAGAAAAAGCTATTTAGAATCAGGAATTATTGAAATTTAATCTTGGAAATTTAGAGTATGTTTAAAAGCTACTAAAATATATTTACTAAATGTATTATATATGCCTATGTAATGAATCCAATCAGAAAACACAGACTTTGTCAAAAAGGTCACTGGATATTAAAATTACAATATTCTTAGTAATTTGAAAAGCTTCAGATTTGGCAAACAGTAATTTTGGGGTAAACTGAATAGGCTATCCATTTATAATCTGGGGACTTAAATGATCCATATTATTATTCAGGGAAGTAGACTATCTCTAAAAATGTCAAGTCTGTCTTTTCCTAGTGAGTCCTATGAAGAAGCATCTATGTGAGAAGTACTGGACTTTTCTGCTCTGGACATATAATTCAGCTCTATTTTCTAATTACCAAAGGGTAGAAGTTCTTGAAATAGGAAATATGATCCTGGAGCCACCAACGTCACTGGAGGCTTGTTAAAAATGAAAATTCTCAGAACATCTCCTGAAACAGAAATTCTGGGGAGTGGGGCCTAGCAATATGTGTTTTAAAAAGCATTCACATTCTGATGTTCCCTAAAGTTTGAGAGCATTACCTTAAGGCAACTGAAGGCTTTTTAAAAAACTTCCTAAAAAAAAAAACAAAAAAAACACACCAAGGATTCTTTTGTGATTTCAATTTCTAAACAAGTGGTCCAATAAAAGAGCACCGAAGTTCAGAGACTGGCTTTGAGCACCAAAAGCACTAAGCTTCACCTAAAGCAAATAAAATGGAAAAAAACCCCAAAAAGCATGCAAAGACATACACTATAAATAAGAAACACTTAAAAACTCCATAGTAAGGTAACATGCTTTTCATTTACTTGTTACTAATATTTTAATAATGATATTTTGAATATTAATACATAAACATTTCCATTAATAGGGGCCTATAGATGATTTTATCTCACATAACTGTTTCTATTGCTGAAGAATGCCATCTTATATTTAACACAGAAATAATGTATAGCTTTAAAACCAATATTAAAAAATACATTATAATAAAGAAATCGATTGGAAACAACAAAACATGCATTAGGTAACCAGTAACTGCATCAAAATAGATATACCACTCACATATTCCATTATGTAAATGAATTCAAAAATATTTCATGACTGATCAGCTAGAAGGGACATAATGATTTATAATTCAAATAACTGAGCACTGAAATCAAATTGAGCTAATATATATTTCTAAATATGCAAACCTGAAATAATTGTTAAAAAATATAAATCAGTGTACCCATGTTGAAATCATTTGTATCCTTTGATTTAAAATGTTTAGCTTTTAAACTTTTATTTAATAAGTTTTCTGAAAATATGATTTTTTATTAACTTTAAGAAGTGCTCAAAAGCAATAAACAGCTTGTAAAATAAAAGGTTATAATATTTGGATTAAAGAATGTATAATAGGTTTAATGTGATAGAAAAAGGATTTTAAATAGCAGATACAAATAAATTAGGCATTATGCAAATTATACTAAAAAGAATACAAATCAAATTAATTTTATATTAAATATCAATTTCAACCTAAAAAATAGGGTAAATCTAAACAATAGATAAGTGCTATAAAATAACTGAGGTTCTTTGCAGATAATGTGCTCTCAAAGTAATTCACTATGAAAAGGCCAGAGTTTGCAATACTAGGAAGTACTTATAAGCCACTTCATATGTTAGAAATAAAGAGTATTTCAGCATTATTATCAGGAAAAAATACGGGTTGAGTTTTTTTTTAATAAGAAAAAATACATATCTTAAAAAGCCAAAATGACCACTGGAATTGGGTTGTACATCACTTTCCAGTAAAAAGGAAAAACAGCCTGGACAGGTGTAATTTATCATTTTTCTGATTTAATATCAAAGAAATATATTAAAATAATAAAAAGAATCCTGAAATCCTCAAAATTTGTAGTGATAAATAGCCCTCCCTGTCTTTATTGCATTATACCTACTAACAGAAATATTGCATGGTGGATTTTGCCAGACAAGGACGATTATTTTCCAATAAAAAGTTGCATATTAAATTCCAGCACAAAAGTGGGTGTCTAATACTTTGGAAATCTTTTATGGTTTACCAAGGAACACAATTTTAAACTTAACTAATACAAACATATTCTTGGAATGAACCTACATTAAAGGTTTCTATTCAATGCCACCCATTTTCAGAATTTGTCCTAATATTAAAATATAGCTAATCTTAGGGCTTAACTAAAGCAACACTTATCTTTCACAATACCTATATATTTGATAGTTAACATATAAATGACAATCTACATGGTTCTCTCTCATTGGTAGAAATATGATAACAGTATCAACTATAATCTAGTAAGAAAGGATAATTCCTAGTTTTAAATTTTAAAATATCTGCTAGAGAGATAAATCTAAACATTTAATGTGTAATGGGAAATCTTATTTTAGAGTAGATTAGATGTTGATCGGTGGGGCCGATAATCAAAGAAGTAGTCAAAAAGCTTATTATTGTCTTCCTATTATTCCTTTGTGCCTCTCAACTAATGAAAATGATGTTCTTTTCAACTGAAAAATATTAAAAACACGTTTACTCATAGGAATTCAGTTTTTATATGGTAATATTTTTAGAACATTTTGACTTCCTTAAAATTAGTTACATGCTTTTTTTAGAATAAGAGATTCTGACAACTATGAAAAACCATGAACTAAAACAAATGTGACTGCACACTTTTTTGTTTTTTTCCTGATAAAAATGACCCAGAGGAGATGGTTGCATACTTTCTTATGTAACTATTTCTTAAACTGAGTGACTATAAATATAACTTTAGTTAGGCATCTATATATCCATACACAGTCAATTATGACTCTGACTAAATGCTTCATAGTAAGCAGCTAATACAAACCTTTCAAAACCATGCATTTACAAATAAGGCTAAATGAAAAGCCTTATTTTAAAAAGGAACTTAAAAAATGATAAACAAGGAAAATATCTGGCTAATAGAATATACTTGTTAGGTTGTTTATATATATAATATCAGATATACAGTGAAAAGGATATCCAACAGAAAGGTCATTTAGGAACTGAAGAGTCCTTGAAATTACAGGCTCACATCTTCCCCAGTATTTAAGGTTTGTAACACTAAATATGAAAAAAAGTCTTTATTGCTTACATAGGAAGAACCAGAGCAATACACATAAACTTATGTAAGTTTGATGACCTAAATAACAAATATCTCACAAAATAAAAAGCAGTTCAGAAACAGTTTCTATTCTATTCTTCTTATAGCACATTCAAAATTATATGCAACCAGTCTACAATGAACATTGCTCTCCAAATGGTCTATAATTCTATACATTTAGTTTTGTGAATTAAATAGTTGCCTAAGAGTTTCAAAGAAGAAACATTAAGTTTGTATCCAAAACAAACATATTAGGGAGTGAACGCAGGAGTCATAAAGGAAGTCAAATAAAGGCTCCCAGCTACTGCCAAAAAATGAACCTCTAATTGTGGCTCTGAAACTCACTTCTTATGATCATGATTGTTTATCTAGTTTTGTTCTCTGCAAGCAAGAGCGTGCTGTCTATCTGTTACACAGATAAGTGGGGTGCCAAATGGAGGCATAAAAGTTTAGTCTAAGTGTACAGAGTTAGGTCTATGACTAGAAGATGGTTAATTCTGCTAATATTATAAGTACAAATTTAAAGACAGTTTCCATGAATGTATCTCTGATAGCCATAGGTTCCTGTTGGAACTAATGAATGCCTTGTCTTAAAGCAATAAGACCTCTCTCAGTGATTCCAATTTGCAATAATTTCTTCAGTTGGTATTTGAAATTGGATGTTTTCTTTTTAATTTAAAAAAAAAATGCTATCCAACTGACCTGAAAAGTCAAGGTCTGTTAATCCTTTTAAACCATGTTCTGATGCTACTCACTGCAGTTGTACGGAAACTTGACAAATTACAATGTCTGTTGGACGGTGAGTTTTCAATATGTGAAATTAAGTTTCAATTAAGAACAATGATAACATTCTAAGAATTAAAACATAATTTAAAAATATTTTTTATTAAAATTAATATCTATAAAAAGATTAAATACAGTAAAAATATCTATTAGATTAAAACAATAACAAAAGAAAACTTAAAGACCAAAATAGGAACTTACATTTTTGTCATGAATGTTTCTAGAACGTGGTTGTCATCTGTTATTCCTAAGACTTCTGACATACGTGCATATACCTGCATGAAAACATTACATTGTTAAAACTTTATCATTAACATATATTTTCAAAAGACTATTTGAATTCAACAAATGTAAAATTTAATACACTGCTGTAATCATACTAAAACAGGGAGTGGGGGTGAGAGTAAAGGAAGGATTTTTTAAAAAGCTTTATAATTTTAAAATTTGCTAATGTTTTACTTCAGAAAGTATTTATCCTGTTTTGAAATATACACACACACTTACATATCCACACATCCATTTTACTCATACCATACCACATAATTTTTTTTCTCTAAGTGGTAAACCACTCCCTTTTTGAAAATGGGAGTAGGTATGCAAAAGGTTAGAAAGTAGAATACCTCAACAAAAGGCTCCAATATTTAAAAATCTCCATCTATTCCAGATTTCAGCAAAATATCAACTATTTCAGGACTACTTAAGGCAGTTATTAAAATAAGGATGTAAAAAATCAAAGGAAGTTAAGGAATTTACAGAAATTCTCCTTAAATATCACCTAACTCTTAAACTTCCCCAAATATAGAGGTAGATCTTACTTTTCATGTTGAAAATGAAATCCCAAGCTCCGGGATTCTCTGTTGAAAACATCAGGGCCTGGGAATCCATTAAGCTTCCAATTAGGGAGTGTTGGTTGCAGAGTTTGGGGTGCAACATTTCAGTCTCAATCCAAGCCACATTGAGCTTATAAACATATATCCCACTTTAAGTGGGAAAATGCCACTGGCAGCCAATGGAATATTATCTACTAGCCTGGCAAGGCTGAGAGGTGGGTTGACACCTCCATACTCCCTGATGCTCTGGTGTGATTCCAGGACATCCCTGCCAGACACCAGCTGTATGGGATTTCTCTTCTGTGATTTGATCCCCTGTGATTGTGTCTTCTCACTTTTTCCTGATACGCCTAATTTCCTATGTAGGGAAACTTAGCTTGTACACCCTCTGCCTTTTGTTTTTTATATCTAAACACCAGCTTGATATACTGCCATAGGTCATTAGGTAAGATTAAAACCATAGGGGTACCACAAATCACCCAGTTATAGGGCCATACAGGGGAGGAAAGCTGTTCACTGCAGAAATCTCATATTTGGATTTTAAACACCATTCAAGCTTGTGTTCCAGGCTTTTAAACTGACTCTCCTATGTCTGGAAGGCTCCTCCTCAGGCTGATAGAGTACATCAAAGGGAGAAAAAAAGAGGGAGAGAAGGAGGGCTTGGATATAGAGGGTGAGAGAAAGAAAGTTGGGGGCAGAATGGTGGAGAGGAGAAGCTGGCAGGGAGAGAAAGGAAGACTGAAATTCAAATTCCTACTGATTCTTCCGCTAACTCCTGAGCCCTACAGAAAAGCATTTCAATGGCTATATATCTATGACTTTGCCCCTGAGAGTAGGCCCTCAACTCTTACAAGATTAAAGTTATCAAGTTATCACTGTGGCTTATAAGATGTTTTGGGGAAGAGGGAGATAAGTAGAGAGAACTTAGAGAAGTGACTTATCATCAGTACTCAATAATCAGAAACTTTTAAGCACACAGAAGACTCAAGTGAAGAACAGTATGTAGAATGGGAACTTTCCCTCAGCTCGCCATGATCCAAAACCTCTCTCACGTGATAACAGTATTTGAATTGGGAGGAATTTGGACTTTGAGATGATAGTCTGCCATTTTCCTCCTTTGCTGGCAAACTAACAAATTTCTCTTTCCTTCTCCTCAACCACTTGTCCTCGTTCTTCTGATGCAGCCTCTTTGACAGGTGCTCTCTGGGTGGGGCAATGGACACCTTGGTGAAATGGCACCCCAAAGCAGGGGAATAGCTCTGGGCCAACCTGTGGGTTTTCGCTGGAAGGAGTGGCTTCTTTTTGGGGTGAGAGTACAGGATGGTCTTAGCAGCTATCAGAGCCTTTTTTAGCCCCAGAGAACTCCCAGCCCTGTCTCCCCAAAGTAGGTGCAACTCTCTGCAACCTGAACTGAGGTGAGGGGAAGGAAATGGATTTGGGAAGTGTCCAGATGCCATGGCCATTTATTTGTTTGTTTCGATAGAGAGACAGCTCCTTAGTGAAGATTTCTTCAGGCTATTGCCTCTTCTGTTAATCTGTCTTGCTGCTGGGTTTGTCATCCTAAACCTTGTTTGGTGCTGTATATGATTTCTGAATTTACAAAAACTGGTCTCTCAGATCACCTATAGAGTGCAAATAATAGCTCCACATTCAAAGGTCCCATGTTTCTTTTCTAACCCAGCCTCGTATTGGACATTGTATACATGGCGACGACAGTCCATTTCACCTTGTCAATCCTCCCTATTATTGTTGCTTATGACTCTTTTTGCCTGGTAATGTGCTGTTGTAAATATACTGCCAAAGCTTTACAATGACACACAAAAGTATAAAATGTTCCATCTGAAACGTTGTCCCAATTCAGCAGGAAGTAGACTGAGGATTACATTGCCCTTCCTCCCATAGCTATGGAAGCCTATAATTGAGAGTGGGGACTATGTAACAGAGGGAATGGCCTAGAAAAAAATGGCAAAAGATGTTTTCTGTCTCTTTAAAACTTCCCCCACTCTTTTTGGGAACTGAGACCTGCATCCCTGCCTTGGGCAGGTGGTTGGGAAGGGCAGGGGAATGTCTTTTGTTCTTTGTGCAGCAGGAGATAGCTTAGCTAAACTGTCCAGGCCTGGAGCCAGAGGTCTCAGTGGGCTTCCCAGGTGGGCGAAGGTCACAGCTTTTTCTTTGGCAGAGATGGGATGATTAGAATCATTAACGACAATAGCCTGGAACTGAGGGACCTCCCTTTAAAAGCACTGTATTTGTGCTCATGTTTATAGTCTGCCAGTTTCCTTCTTTGGTGGCAAAGTAGTAAATTTCTCTTTTCCTCTTCTCAAAAAAAAAAAAAGAAAGAAAAGATAAAAAATAATTGGGTTTCTTGGAAAATCCGATATAGATATGATTAATGGCACACAAAGCCCTTCACAATTTGGCCCCAACCTACCTTATCTTCCACCATTTCCATCTCAACCCACAATAAAATACTGATGGATCACTGAGGCTTCTCATGCAATTTCAGATTTCTATGTGTTCACATGCTGTTTATTTTGCTTGTATCAGCCGCCTTCTTCCTCTTCCCCTGATTCAAAAGTTATCTCCTCTGAAGCCTTCCTTGCCTTCCCAGGCACGGTGAATTGCACTCTTCTTTATGTTCCCACAACGTCTAGTCCATTCCTCTTATCACGGTGCTTTTCACATTGTAATTGTTTGGGTGTCTATCTCCCCTACTACACTGAGACCTTCTTGAGGAATGATACTGTGCCTTATTCTTTGTGTTCCAGCACCTAAGGCAACATTTGTCAAGTGAATATTATGTGTGTGTTTAATGTATAATGGCAAAAGTCATGATCTGGATCCACTAGGACTATAATATAATGTGAATATTACACAAATAATAAAAAAATGAAGATTTTTTTCCTTTTAAGCATATATTGGATTCCATGGACAAAAGACATAGAATCATAAATTACAACAGAAAAAGAAAAGCAGTTATAAAGAGAAGCTTGTATTGTTATTTTTAACTTATATCTAGTAGTTGATTATAGGAATTGTTTTGAAACTTTATTTTAGTAGCACCTTTAATGTTTCAAATAGGCCTAGTTTATAAAATTAGGTAACAGTAGGGACTTGATACTTTGTTGTCTGCCCTATTCTGACCACTTTGCTATGTTCCAGGGCCACAGAGTATGCTGTCAACTCTGACTGGAATTTTAAAGGCACTTTCATTTACAAAGAAAGCATAAATGGATATGTTTAAACTAGCTTTACTACATCTCAAAGCACAAATGGTATGTAAGATTATTTTTATAAATAAATATAATTAATCATAAATTCCATGTTTTGACATACTGGTTTTAGAAAGGACATGACCAGGTATTATCTCAACTTACCTATTTTATTTTTGTTGTATTTATCTCTTTCTCTGATCTCGCCTGATTAATTTTCTTATTTTGGACTGTTGTCCAAATGATGACTATTTTGTACTTTTGTAAAATCAAATTTTACATTCTCAGGAGTTTACAAGTGCTACTTTTTATGGTAAAACTCAGAATTAATCTAATTTTTATTTTAATCCTGCTACACTGCATAATAAAAATATAATAACTAAAATGTGATTTTTAACATCTAACATTAAAAATGTATCTTTTAAATTGAAGGTTCCTATAAAGAGAAGTTTTCCTATTGTGCTCCTACCATTCAAGAGAAGAGGAAGTTAAGAAGGCAGGTCTGTTGTCTCTGCTGTCAAAACAGTTTCTCAAAGCATCAGATTTGACCCAATAATATACTAGAAAAAACAGTCAACATTGACACATGGCAGTGCTTTAATCCACAATTATCCTTGTAACTTGCACCATTCCTTTTATCATCCATTAGCTTTGATTCCCATTATCCCATCTAGAACTGTGTCAACGCTTTTGTCCTTGGGGATTTCTCTCCACTACTAGGATCTGACAGTCAAGCTTGAGTACTAAACAGGATCATTACCTCTTAAATCCACTTATCTGATCTACTGAATAGTAAATTGAAAAGCTCATTAAGAGCAACAATCTGATTTGTTTTCACGTGTGACAGGGTCATTTAAAATCAATGTATGATTACAACATTTCTTTTAAAAGACTGTCTCACATTTTCCAGGGCACCTTATCATTCAGAGAATACTGTTATCATTTAGAGAACATGTAGATAATGTAAAAATGCCTCCAAACATTTGGAATTTAATTATCCCATAGACATAGATAATTTGGGGGTGGGAAGTAATTTGTTCAGTGAAGAAATATCTACAAAATTATTTATTATAAAGCACAAATCAATGAAAGTTTTCTATAGAAATTATTATAACACAATATTTAGAGTTTTCAACACTTTTTACAACTTGTATCACTTCACCAAAAATAAATTTTATGACAGCTAGAAGAAACCACATTACAATACCCATTTTACGGAATTGTATAGGAGTTGGCACAGGAATGCAAGAACAGAAAAAAAGTCACTTTTAGTTCATAGATTGTTAATCTCTTATTCAGAATCTATTAAGATAACTTGATTATAATGAAAAATTAGCAAAAATTGAAAAATAAGAGATTAAGTCTATTTGCATTATCATCCTTCAGAGGATGGGCAATACAACAACATTAAGTAAGTGGTTATGTTTTACATAGTTCGAGATGCACATGCTGTAACCAAGTTTTTGCCTACCTCAGCCCTCCTTGCTTTTTTCCTTCTTTAATACACCTGCATTTCTCTATTACATTACAAGCTCTTTGAGGGCAGAGATGATGCTCTGTCTTTTGTCTCTCATGCCCACTACTTAACAGACATTTGTTACGTGAATAAAAAGATTATAATATTAAAGTGTATATTTTGGCCAGTTCCATTTCACTTATAATTTTTTAACAAAAGGAAAACAACTCACAAAAGGCATTTTTTTTTGGTTACACAGAATTTTTTTCTGCAAAATAATATACCAAAAAGCCTACTCAGGGATGAACACTGGTAAAACTGTGTTATTTAAAAAGTTGTGGTTTTAATGCTTAAGTAATATTTCTAGAAGAAGCTCTCCCTATGGATTCAGTAAGAAGAGTTCTCTTCCTTTGAATCTTCAGAGCATCCATTGTCATTAGCTTGTTATTGATACTTCTTGTATCCTATAATAAAATGATCTTTCTGTAGTGTTAATTTTCCACGTGAATGTATGTTTCCTCTACTATTTTAAGCACACACTCCTTGAGGGCAGGGGAAATGTCTATTTCTCTTTACTTCTTTAGAATACTTCTTGATAAACTTAGCAACAGTTTTCACATGAAAAATAACAAAGATAAGGAGGTGCTTACCTTGAAGATTTTCACATGGCACAAAAATGGTTAAAACAAACAAAACCTTAAAATTGGTATTAATAATTCTGAAATCTTTATGGATATGTTCAATTAACATTCTAGTAACAGTCATAAATTGCATTTGATAAAGGAATAAAGCAACTGCTTCAAAATTTCAAGATATAAAATCAAATTAAAAAAATAAAATGGTGATAATAGTAATAAAATAGGAGTTATTTTGAAGATTAAATAGAAGGAAACAAACAACAAAAAACACCAAATTCTTTCTACTTCTAAATTGTGACTGTTTTAGAAGCTAGAAAAATTACCCATTTTAACCAGTCACCTATTTTTCTAGCTCCCAAAATATAGAAAATCATTAGAAATCTAAGAAATTATCATTATGACAGACGTGAGAAGGCATACTCATAAAAAACTTTTAATATGTTTATTTTCTTATCCCTATTTATTTTACTGCAAAGGTTCTTATAAATTTCAGACAAGAGCATTTGGATGTGTATATATATACATATATATTTATATATATAATGCTTCAATGATCTAATACATTTTCTAATTTCTCAACTAATCACATGACAAAAAATTGCCTGTGAATTTGTAGGTAGCTTAATTGATTGTATATACGGTTTTTAAAAGGCAACCAGGTAAGAAAAATTGATGAGGGAATAAACATACAAATAGCAATAAGATTTTGAATTGTAAATTTAATTTAACAAACAAAAGCATGTGCTGTGATAATTTTAAAAATTGCTTTCTTTTTCCAATCCTAATCCTTGGTCTTGGGTATCTGCAGTGTTGTTGCAAATGTTCTACTTATAACTTTGAAGAAACTAATTATGTCAATCCTTAAATTTGAAGTAGATTACAGAACTGGGAAACCCAGAATATTAGTTCCTAAAGGTTGTATGGATATATAATGACAGTCACAGAAATTCAATAACAGCCCTCTATGAAATGTACTCAGAAGCACCACATGAAACAAATTAAAAAGAACTATGAATCTCTCATTCTGTGCAAATAAGAATATAAAAGAAAACACTGGTTCTGTAAGTTTTCATAAGAGCTGTTATAATGAATTAAGATTTTGGATAATGAATCTTTAGAAAATTATAGTAAGTTAATACCCTCAGGCCTTCTATAAATGTTTAAGATGTTATAACTTCTCAACGTGCTTTAGTACATTGTAAGGGGGCTCAATGTAAAAAATTAACAGTGCTGTGGAAGTCAACAATAAAGTATTCTGCCATCAGATGATATACCTTCCCTGAACCAATTTATTCTCAGAAACTCACATCAAATAATACAAAACAGATAACACAAAAAGTCCCCTGAATATTATTGTGAGTTTTAAAATATTATTTCAATCTATTGAAATGACTTATCAATCATGTTTTTAAATGGCTATAATTTGGTAAAACAAAATCCACCACTGGAAAGGATCTAATATAATGAAAGCATTAACATTCCTTAGGAAGAGAATTTAGCAACCCAGCATGAAATCACTTGCATAAAAAATGAGTTTTCATATTTTTATCTTAGGTTTCTAGTGCCCTTGAGGTCAATTCAGTGCCTTCTATAAGAGACACCCCATCAAAATGAAAGGCGCTTGTAGTGTGGGGAGAAGGAGGGAAAGAAGGAACTAATGGAGCATTTAATGACTTGGATCTAAACTGTTTAGAACTAAAGATACCTAGCTCTTTCATTAACATTTGAATCAGAATAATACATGATAATCACTACAATGAACTTATCACTACATTAAGAGAATTAATGGTACAAATGCCATTGCTACATATTAAATACACTAACAGTGATACTGAATAGATCTGTATTAATCTTGGCTGACTAGTTTTTCTACATCATTTAAAATAACATCAATAAATATGCGACTGAAATTAGGTAGAAAATCTTTTGCCAGATTTTAAAACTGTAATTTATGTTATAAACCAAGTGGTAAAAGGTGAGAAATCTGCTTTCATTCAGTCAAATACAGAATGGCATCTGATAAAGAAAAGCTGGCTATGGAAGTATAAAATAAATACGAATGTTAAGTATTTATTTCAACAAGAATATCTGAACCCACCATCTGTGGTGGCCATCTTGCTAAGGGGGCATGTACCTAACAAATCTCTTAAGAGGCATTCCCAATCTGCTTGAATAAGCTATTGTATAAGAAAACTTGGAGCGACCACTTTGGCCTCACATTTCCTTCGCTCCACATCCTGTGGCACAAAGCATGAACTCAGCAGGCTGGGGTGCAGGGCTGCCTGCTGCCTTGTGATAATCCCCTCTCCCAGTAGGGGCCTCCACTGATGCATAGCTAAGAACATGCTTCCTCTTTTGCTTGCACCCCACTGGGGTTTCCATTCCTAACTTGGGCCCAAATCCAGACTGCTAAGGAAGGTGGAAAAGTTAGAAAGCTCCAGATGCTGCCAGAGATATTTTTGGATTAGTTTCCAAACAATCATTTATTAGAAAGAGGAGTATAGGTGTAGTGTGAAAATCAGCAAGACCAGTAATTTTACAGAGATTCTTTCCCTCCAACCCCCGATCAGATCTAAGGTCTAACTACCACCTGTTCAACAGAAGCTGGCTGTTTGCCTCATTTTCCTTCAGGGAGCCACTGACTAAGGATCTCCACCAGCATGAACCTAATGCCTCCCGACAGGCCTTCACTAGCCAAGAGGGACCTGGGTTGAGTGCACCAGTTATTGGTCACAGGACACACAGCCCATAGAAAGACTCCTGCGGTGCAACCAGCTGAAAGCCAACCAGAGAAGATGGAGAGTGTACATTTGTCCTGACACAGCTTTGCTCCTGCCTGCTGCCAACTCACTCCATGTCTGGGGCCAAGCTTCTGTTAAACTAGTCTTATGTCGATACAGCCATGGTAAAGCCCTGGGTAAACATATTATCTTTCCCAAGCCCATTCAAAAAGAAGCTAGCCATGGCTATGGCACAAAACCCTTGTAAGAAAGACTGACTTTGGTAGAGAGTTTTGAGACCATGGTTTGAAGGGGCATTTCAGACATTTTAAAGGAATATTTATAATTCTTTACAATAGCAAATTTATAAGATTACATCATTAGATTTTAGAGCGAAGAAGTTGGTGTCAGATGAACATTGTGAGAGAATGATAGCAGAGGCAAGGAATTATGAAATAAAATATTTTGTTTTTTCTAATCCTCCATACCTCTCAAAGGTGTCAGCCAGAAACATATTTTGGCACAAGGGATACATGTGCTGTAGACACTGTTCAATAATAGATAATATTCAATATAGCCAATTAAAACTTTCTACTTTCAGGTATGAGTAACTGGTTAGAATTGGCCATTCACATGTTATAATTAAAATATCTGGGCTGCCTTCATATTACACAAAGCACACTAAATATAGTCTTTGTAGTTAATACTGCTTATTAGCTGACTAATAAACATTTGGCTTTAAAATACACATACTGGAAGATTATATAGTGCATAAAAAAGAAAATCAAGACTATGCACCCCTATACTTATCATCCTGTGCATGTGCCTGTTTTACTAACAAGAATCTGAGGCTGTAGCGAGACAAGTATAAAGACTGGTGATCCGCCACCATAACCAGCAACTCAACTCACCTTAACTATTTTCCAAGCTTTCTCTGGAACTCTGGATTCATCGCTCCTCAGGCGTACAACCTAAAAAGCACAGAGTTTAGGGACCAGCCACCTGGTGCCAGAAATAAGAGAAGAGCAAAAAGGCCTTCCAATCTCAGATATAGGGAGAAAGTGGCTCAGGATCTTTCTGGCTGTCAGGTAAAATATTCTTGGGACTTTGAATTTATTCTGGAGCCCAAGAACCAAAGCATGTTGAAGTTCTGTTTGAACTCTGGATGTAATTATATGCATTACAATGGGTTTGCTTCAATGAAATAATTCAAGAAACCAATTACTAAAGGTTAGGCCTAAAAAAGAATAAACCACATGTGACAGAACAATTTTTAAGAATCTCTTAGGACTGTTATTTCCCATGAAGCACTTATACAACTATGGCAACTGCAGCTAATGATTTAAATAGGTTAAGTGACCTTCCAATGGGTGAAAGTATATCTTTAATGAATAAACTTATTTCTGTAGCCATTCAGCAGGTAAGCAAATCATACTGACTCTTCCATCATTAATCTAATTCTTACATGCACACCCCTCCCCAATCCTCTGTAAAGGCACACCAAATTATAGTTACAGTGGGTGCTAAGAGTATTACTAGGTAGGTCTCCATCTCCACTTCTACCATCTTTATTATATGCATAAATGTTTCCTGTTAATCTCTTTTGTTTCCACACTGCCTCTCTGAAACCATTTCCCATTTTTATAATCAAAACAATTTCTGTACCTTTTTCCTAAGAGATATCCAACTTTCTACCCCTCTAGGAAGAAAAACATGACATGAAGAGTAGAGAAATAATAGCCCAAGGAATGAAAAATGGGTGTCAATGACACCATCCATATTTTTACTACTCTATCAAATCAGCTATTCTCATTTTTTCATCATACTCTCAAATTTTACTCAAAAATGTTTCTACAGTCCTTTGTACCACTCAATTTCTAGTTCTCACACTGGCCTAGTTAACGAAAATGTTGACTTTCTCCAAATGCAATGGATCAGAGTTCACCTTCTGATAGCTCATTACTTTCTTCAAATACTAATATACAGTATTAACTAAGAGCAGGCATTATCTGCAGCAATAGGCTAAATTCTACTTCTAACTTAAGTTTTCTATGTTGAAAATTAGCTACATCATTTGCAAATGTCCAACTGGTAGACCAAGATAGGATGCAGTTGCTCAGGAAGCATATTCTTCCCTTGGTAAGAAGAAAGAAATAAGCAAATTTATTGAGTATATATTTTAGAGAACTTCAACTTGGAGGAAACATAGAATGTAATGTGTAGTAGAATGCACATGGGATTTGGAGTGAGACTGCTACTCATTAGCCTTGCATAGTGCTTGGCCAATAACAGTCATTTAATAAATAAATATTTTAATTTAATTAAATAATTCTATAACCCTGCTTCAATTATTTAGTCTATCAAAGTCTCAGTTTCTTCCTTTGTGAAATAGAAAGAATAGTATCACAAAGAATGTTACAAATTAGGAGGCAGTCTAGTGAGGTGCTTAGGAATAGATTCTGAAGTCCAAGACTAGTGAGATTCCTATACTTTTTGAGTGATTTTGAACAAGTTACCCTCTAAACTTCAGTTTCCTCAAATACAAAATGAGGATGAAGATCATTAAATATGAAATGTACTATTTTGAATTAAAAGTGTACTTTATTATATCTCAAACAAGAAGCAGTACAATTAGTCAAAGTATGTGCCTAAACTATCAAGACAGTTTTGCCATCTTAACAGTAGCCTGTTTATGCCAGCAGTGAAGCAGCCTGGAGAACAAGTGACAATGAAATCATGAAAGGTGTTTTCTATAACTTGTTGAGAATTGAATATTTTTCCTTGCAAGAAGTGGTCTAAAGCCTGGAAGAAGTGGTAGTCAGTTGGGGCAAGGCGTGGTAAATAAGGTGGGTGACAGAGAGTTTCCAAGTTCAGCTTCTGTAGTTTGAGCAGTGTTGTTTGCGCCACAAGTGGTTGAGCAGTTGTCTTGCAAGAGGGTTGGCCCATCTCTAATGACCAATCTCAGCTGCTTAATAGCTAGCATCCTCATCATTTCATCCAACTGATTGCAACAGACATCCGCTATAACTGACTGACCAGGTTTCATGAAGCTGTAGTGGATAATACCAGTGTTGGACCACCAAACAGACACCATTAACTGTTTTTTGATGAATATTCAGTTTTGGACTCTGTTTTGGCACTTCATCTTTATCCAACCATTGTGCCCAATGCTTGCAACTGTCAAAAAGAATCAATTTTTCACCACATGTAACAATACAGTGTAGAAATGGTCCTCCTGTATGCATAGGTTGCCTTTCTTTGTGACAGCAAAGAAAGGCAAGCTTCGAGATGATTTCTCTGCTGACGCTCGTTTAATTCATGCAGAACTCATTTATCTAGCTTTTCTATATTGCTGATTTGTTTTAAATGGTCCAATATTTTTGGAATAGTAACATCAAATCTTTTTGCTAATTCATGCATAGGCTGAGATAGATTCGCTTCCACTACAGCTTTCAGCTCATCATTATCCACTTTGGTTACAGGTCACTCACATGGTTCATTTTTAATATTAAAATCACCAGAATAGAACTTCTCAAACCATCAATGTACCATGTGTTCATTAGCCACATCCTTCCCAAACACTTTGTTGATATTTCAAGCTGTCTGCATTGCATGACAGAACTCATATTAAAAATACGAATTTTTTACTTATTCATGGTTTCACAAAAATTGCTCTAAAATATTTTTTGAAAGATAATCATGAGCCAAATGTGCATTTGAAAGACAGAAAATGTACCTTCATAATAAAAATAAAATAGTGTCAAAGTGAAATGTCAGAGATATCAACTGGCAAACTTAGTACTTAAGGAAATGAGACATTTCATACTTAATAACCTAATAGTAAGACCTTATCTATGGAATTTTTGAGAATATTAAAGTAGTTATTTTATGGGAAACACTTAGGAACAGTCCTGGGACACAGTAAAAGTTTTATAAGTGTTATTGTCTATTATTATTGTAATTGGAATGTCCCTTTTCTTTGAGCTTTATCTGGACTAGGTGCTGGAATATGAAAAAATATATATATATACACACACACATCTATATATATATATCTATATATATGTTCTAAGTTGGTATGTGAGTAGCTTTGGTACTGTTTAAAGAAGAGTGGTTAGACAGGAGAGATCCCTAATGAAGGTAGCATAACTCCTAATCTTATATAATGAGTCTAGTCTTTGAGTCTTGCAAAGCAAAAGAAGAAACAGGAAAAAGGAGTCAGGAGAAAAATAGAGTGGTCTGTGGCAGGTAGTGAGGTTTTATCTCAAGGGCTCATCTGCATTACTGAAGTTCCCAATTTCAAAGCCCTCATCCTCAATTTCTGAGTCATCACAAGTTTGTTTCCTATCTCCAAGGTAAGTTTTCAGCTCACTGGGTAAATGATGATTTACAGCCCTGTGTCCAATAAATTATCAAAGTTTTCCCAATTCAGATAAATGGATCCATCCAATTCTCCAAGTTTCCTTTACTAAATTAATACATACAGACGGAGGTTCCAGAACACCATTATCAGAATTTTAAATTATTAACAGAGTTTTTGTGTGATGGGCTCCCAAAGGACATTCTTTCACGGTAAGAACAGAAAGGGTTTGCCTTTCATATATGAATACAATATTACCGATCTCTGACACTAGACTATGGGTTCTGAGTTGATTCACCTATTGTAGGACGGATTATAGCAAGTATCTCAGATCTCATTTAGTTCTCTTGTGACGGATGGCTAGCCAGGACTAGAGGTCCAATCTGTGGGTGTAGAAATGAGTTGTTTTCCTTGGGAAATAAAACAGCTAATATGAGATGAAAGTTGTGATGTTGGTTTTATGAGTCATTACACTTTGAAACCAATCATTTCTGGACTCGTGTAAATACACATAGGCAATGTGATATAGTGGAAAGCAAACTGGGTTTAGAGTAAGATGACTTGGTTGAAACTCAGGGTCTGCCACTGAACAAGATTTTAACCTTTCTGAAATTGTTTCATCTTCTGTAAAATGAAGATAATTATAACTACTAAATAGAAAACTGCTGAGAAGACTAAATGAGAAAATGTAATTCAGAAAATGAAAATTCAGCAAAGCGATTAAACAGAAAGTAGAAGCCCAGTGTAGGTTAGGTTAAGGTTGAACATCCTCAAATAATGTTTCCTAGGCATTTCTCATTATACATTACCTGAAAATTCAGAATTTATAACCTATAGCATGCATAATATTTTAACAGTCAATGCCTTAAACTTTAGAGTGTATCATATGTTAGGCAGCTATACTTGCTAGGAAGTATGATGTTACAGCCCCTGACAAGATAAAAAGAAGGACAGTTGAGGACTGGTACCACCAAGAATGAAAACATTTCTAATGAATGACTCAGAAAAACAGACCAAGAGGGAACATGGAAGGAAATGTCCATGAAAACTTGGAGATAGGGGCCGGGCATGGTGGCTCACGCCTGTAATCCTAGCACTTTGGGAGGCCGATGCGGGCGGATTGTTCGAAGTCAAGAGTTCGAAACCAGCCTGAGCAAGAGCGAGACCTTGTCTCTACTATAAATATAAAGAAATTAATTGGCCAACTAATATATATAGAAAAAAAATTAGCCGGGCATGGTGGCACACGCCTGTGGTCCCAGCTACTCAGAAGGCTGAGACAGAAGGATTGCTTGAGCCCAGGAGTTTGAGGTTGCTGTGAGCTAGGCTGACGCCATGGCACTTCTAGCCTAGGCAACAAAGCCAGACTATGTCTCAAAAACAAAAACAAAAAACAAAGAAAAGAAAAAAAAAAGAAAACTTGGAGATAGGAAAGGACAATAAATGGTCAAAAGGTTTTTAAAAAATGGGGTAAGGGTAAAACAAAACTTGTAAAATTCTCCTCAAATGTAAAGCCACCAGTATATTAAGGCGTTTGGCACATTTCAGCATTTTCTATCACTTCATAATTTTCGTCATCAAAAGTTTTCAACTAAACCTACTGGGCGTGAG